TATAATTACTTTTCAAGGTAAGGCGTCACATGGGAAATGGTCGAAAAGTCGCCCGATCTTCTACAACAGCCTCCGTTCTTCCAAGGGTCATATCTACGTTTTGGGATGAATCTTGAATATCCAAAAATTGGAATCGGAATTATTTTGCTTTAATAAAATAAATTTCATAATACCTTCTTAAGATTATTGGCCGAAATGTAATGAATTGAATGAAAGCGATTGAAAAATGTAAATCTTTCTCCTGATCTTTAAGACCCGCCAATGTTCGAAAACGGTTTTCAAGACAGGCAAACGAATATCAATAAATCGAGTTAGAATGCATACATATATATATTTGTTTTAAATGATGAATCACTGGGGAGACGTCTTCTATTCGTGTAATACGGCAACGGCCAGAAAGAAGAAAAAGTGAAGAACAGGAATGATATAGCGAGGTGTACCCAGTCTGTAAGTGTTCTGGCTTTACCAACTGGACGCATATAATATCAAAGAAAACGCTAATACTGACATGTTAGTCGCGTTTCTTACCTGCTCGGCTACTCTTGTGGGTCACATTTAGAATACGGCACTTAAAGAAAGCTTCCGAAGATACACTATTTGAAAATTTTTGCTCAAAGATCATTTCTCGGAAAATTAAAAAAAATCTAATTTAACTTAGTCACGATACTATAAGAGATATTTTTTTATTTTTTTACAAGAGCCTTGTTATCTTCGGTAGAGTTTAATAGAAAGTTTTAGGAGGATTAGTGCTTCACCAATATGGAAGTAAAATATCAAATAAAAATTTTTAAGTTGTTTCGTCAAATAAGTAATAAGTACGAGCATGATTGTATGAAATTGAGCAAAGAGAATTGAGTAAATTGAATGAGAAGAGATTGGGAATGGGTTCGTTGTTGTTATGTGTTTCGCTTTCAAAGACGATTACATTGGATATTACCCGAAATGTTTTGCATCGACACACTAACATATATATGTATTACAATTGATTAATAAATTGATTGAAGATCAGTTCGTTCGATATATGTTATTGATGTGTATTGCATTAGAATAGAGGGCGTATACTTCAAATGATATTTTCTGCCGATCAAGAACACATATACATTGTCTACCTTATCTATTACATAAGCGGACATTGTGATCCTATTTGGATTGCCTTCGAATTTGGCGTTTTTTTAACATTTACTCAGGGGACGTCCGCCTTGCACTGTGTCAGGTGGTGGTCTTGGCAGTCAGAAAAAAGTGTAGAGAGAGAGAGAGAGAGAGAGAGAGAGAGAGAGAGAGAGAGAGAGA